GGAGAAAATCAGTGTATATATATTGCACTGATATAAGATAGTTTGGTCGCTTGAAACTAATTTGTAAAGACTTCAGAGCAGCGGTTACCAAGTTCGTCTTACTATCTGTTATTTGTAGTTTATTGTTAGCTAGTTTTATTTGAGTTGAGCGAGAGACTCGGCAAATGCAAAAAGGATAGGTGGCTTGAAAAGTTTGGGAATCGCTGCTCTAGAATAGGGTTGGGCTAAGTTTTTGAACCAGGGGCCAAAAAATTTCCCACATGGCGGATCATGTAAATGTGACTTAAACTTTTTTTGAACAATATTTACAGTGTCACAATTGCAAAAGTGGGAAACAATAAGCCTTGTACTAAAACTAAATTTAATCGCAATCTCAACAAATTGAGATATTTTTTAGCTAAAACATCAGTTTTAGTTTGATTGTGGCTGCATCAGGCGGACCAGATTTATTTACCCAACGGGTAAGTTTTTGCCCGCTGGCCGTAGTTTCCCCATGTCACCTTTAGACGGATATATACTTCCGTTTCAAGCATTTATGTATTATCGTTAATAAACGGTCGACTGAGGTTCATTTGTAGAGATTCTAGAAGAGAAGGTCGTATAATTTATTTCAAGCATTAACTAACTAGCTCTAGCCTAATACATTTGCTAGACGTCTCGAAAATTGAAGATTATTATTTTAAGATATAACATTTACCATCTATTGATGGGCAGAAAATTCAAAACTAAATTGATTCTTTAGAAAATTAGTCGAAATACGTTTCATTAACCTAATTGCATTGTACTCCACAATCATTTCGGAGCAATATTCCAACTATTTGAAAATGTTAATTGGGCATTATTTGTAGCATGGCGACTGACGTAATATACTATACCGTGATATGTACAACGGCTGTACGGGCGCTTTGAGATTAAAACGAACAAAGGAGCGGCATTTCCGCGTACCAAATTAATGATGCGTACTAATGCAAACATTGCCGCTGTCGAGCCAGACATATTTTTGTCTACTGTAATGGCCTCAAAGCTTGTAATAATGCTTAAACTAGTGAGCAAGATCGGTATATCTTCTAGACTTCTCACTCTTTAACACATGATAATCATATCGATAATGAGACATCCAGTACTTCTAAACTAATAAATCTAAATTATAATGCGAAATTCACGTCGTGTTTCCCATATTCGTTGAAATACCTGTACCTGTACAAGTATCTATTGTGAGTAACGAGTCGTTTAATGCGTTATATATGTAACTAGTTACAACTAAATCCAATGTCGTCGAAGAAATTTCTCAAATACTGTTACATTGTTCAGATTGGAATTTGCACATTAGCAGATTTAGCCAATAATTTTAAACTCATGATATGTCATGCTCTCTTACCTTGAATGCTTCCAACAAGTAGATATTTAGACGTAGCTAGGTACCAGGAGGTGTGGGAAGATGGCACCAGTTCCTACATAGCAAGAATTTATTGAGTGGTGAACCAATCTAAATGACTAAAATTATATAAAACAAACGACTACAAAAATTCTTATGTGTTCAAAGTTGCTTTCAGCTTTACATAAATTTTCATTTTTTATATTTCCAGGTCTAAAGCAGAAGTCAGAGACTCACACATTGGCGCTGTAGGAGGTGAATATTTATCCACAACAAATTCTGAAATCCTATTAACGGGCGCCATCTCCTGGTCGTGGTCGTCTGTGAAATTGGTGGCGAATAATCCGCACGGTGGTGCTATATTCGAAATACTAAATTTTTGTTTAAGCTGCTATCGAATAAAAATCAACGTGAAATGCAAAACGGTATGGAAACAATTATAACAAGCCACCAAAGTTTTCAAAACACCCTTTCGAAAATCTCCTGTCAATCAACCATCGTCAATGATGTTAACAAAAAGCAATGCTTTAATATATCTTTCTTATCTGAGGATCAAGTTGACTGAAAATCTCGGTAAATGAGCGTGGTGCGATAAAGTGTTCAAATACGTTATAAAAATGTGTTTCCACGTTATAAATGTTCTGTTAAATAGAAAACTAAAAGTCATAGTATTCCAGGGACTCTATAGATCTATCTGTCTACCCAGGCCTGCACAACATACGGCCCGCGGGCCGCATGCGGCCCGCTAGATACTTCTGTGCGGCCCGCGGGTGATTTGGAAACACGCCACTTCTTGTGTCTAACAATCAAAGCCGGCATTGTTATGCAAGCCCGCCGCTACTCCGATCATATTTCAAAATCGTGAGATTTATGTTTTGCACTAGTTTCAATGAATATCGAACTTTGTGTGAAATTGGTGTGCCCTTCGTGACCCCTAAAATTCGTCGCTCGATCCCTCGCTGATTTAGATATCTCAGTATTCAGACTGGATCACGCTTAAAACAATATCGGTATACAATCTCACACCCATTAGTGCATATTAGCAACCTATTATTAACCCCATTATTTTTTACTAGCAATTTATAAAACTGGAGTTTCTTTTTTGATTCGAATTTCGAACTTAAAAAACAATTCCTTTTTTCCTGAATGGTGCAAAATTCTCGCACAAAAGATAATGCTATTTACTGTAAAATTTCAAATAAATTGGAACAGATTTTGTAGAAAAATGTAATTTAACATTCAAAAAGTACAACACAGGAGAATCTATTGCTACTAAACGGATTGTTTGTCTAGTCTAACATACAATGGAAATATCCAATAATGATACATATGACTAAATAAATTGTCATACATATATTTGGGACGATTTTACAAAACTGAACCCGAGTAAAATATTTTCCTGCAGTCAGTTTATACTGCAGCACACAATACCTAATTCTAATACAAAAGAAGTATTGAAAATGAAGGGTGGGTTTTCAAGGTAAATGAACCACTAAATACATATTTGCCATCTCATATGCAAAATACTGTAACTTGTTTTTACTCAAGAAAACAAGATTCTTCATATTTTTAAGCTCCCCAGTAATGAAATTGTTCATTTAATTTAAGTGTTTTACAAAATTATTTTGATTTGTAGTTCATCTTGTGAAATATGTATGTAGCAAAGTTTGCGGCGCGCCGGGACTTCAGATTAATGCTTGTGGCCCTCGTGGTAATTTGAGTTCTACAACATCAATAATTTTGATGAAATACCCATAAATGCTCTTCGCGTAAAATTAACAATATCACAAACATATGTCAATTTAAAATTTACTTGTTTTTGTTTTAGGGTCACAACAACCTCCTGCAATCGGTGGTCCAGGGGAACAAGCAGCCCTAGCCTGGCTTGGTCAGGGAGCATCTGGTAGTTCTCAGGTGCCTGCATTAGGCGGTCCCGAACAACGACCTGCTTTACCTTGGCACGAGGGAGGAGAAAGAGAAGGTTTGTGTTAGATTTGTTTTGACACAACCAATTAGCGTCAATCTTAGAACCGTTCAATGTGGAAAAGCCGTGGCTCTGTATTTTTCTTTTACAATCCCGAAAATTCGGATATTTGGCTCGATGGCCATGCTATCGGTTAAATCGTCAGGCTTGGATATTGTTATGTGTTAGTATCGCATGTCGCGTTCATATGTCGTGTGTCCACTTCACCCGTGGTTTAATAAATTGAGTAGGCCATTCTGAATTGGAAAGATTCGGATTCTACCGAATAATTGCAGTTTTCATTGTTGAATATAAGTGGCCTTTTTTGGCTTCTATTTTAGCCTTAGCCATGTTTAGGAGCAAAAGGTGTGATTGGCCGGCATGTAAAATATATACTGAAGGTCAAACATTAGGTCTCCCACCTCACCAAAGCTGTGAATAGGGATGATCAGAAAGTAATATTGAAAGCCCAGAAGATTCTGAACATGTAAGCGTTCTTGTTGTTAATGGGCGCTTATCAGCCTTATTCGATGGCAAGAAATATCTCATAATAATGAAATATGAACCGAAATCAGATTCACCGAGTTTGACTCACATTCATTGATATTGGATTCGTATTTCAAAACTCTTTTTGGAATTCACGTTCGAATTTAAAATTATGTAGTCTGATCAAAGTGAAAAATTCCGGCATGAATTCACGAAGCATTAATTAGTTTACTAAGCATTCACAATCAATTTTTATCGTCCGAGTTTGGCGCTGAGTCAAAATTCTTATCACCTTTATCGAGAGCCAGAATTATTTATAATTTTGAAATGGCTCGTAATTTGAAGTCGGGTGTGACTTTCACCGTTCCATAGCCCTGCTTTAAAAATAAGCTGACAGTGATCATGGAATTAATGCTGTTTTTTTTTTGCCACAGCTCTCCATCCTGGTAGAATTCCAGTTAGCAATCAACCCCTCGCATTGCCCGCACCAGAAGAGCAGATATCTTCACCAGGAAACGAACAGCTTGAAGAGATCGAGGCAACAGTGCCAACCGGTGAACCAGAAGTATTAGATTCAATTAAACAAAAGAAAAAATCTAAGAAGAGGTCAAACAGAGGAGGTGAAAATAGCATTATTATGTTATAAACACCAGAACGTCTCATAGCCAAGTGGTGGTCCAATTATTTTCAAAACGAGCAAAATTTACAAACCACGGTGAAGCCTTTGAAAATACTTTTTAAATGCTATCGCAGGCTGTAATGAATTTGGTATGCAATTTCGAACTGCAATTGTTCCGATTAAAATAATATTATCTCTGAATATATTATTGGCCGCCTCCCAAATCCTTGATCGATGCTGGGGATTGCAAAGCCTGCCACAGAACTTCAAGGTGAAACAAAAAATGTTGAAAGCATGTCCAGCAGTTGAACTAAAGTCAATTTGGCCTTGTGATAAATCAAATACGCATTGTTATGGTTGAAACGCTCTTTTCCAATCTGAATTCAGTTATAGTTGATTTGAACGGTATCTCACCATCACATGAATTCTAAACTCAATTAAATTTATTTTCTTTGATAATCAATTCGGATATGATGCAGATGAGTTTATGATTTTTGTTGTATTTTCTATTTTATTATTTTTTTTTTATTATATTCAGGTTCCAATCGAGATCCAGTGTATGCACCAACACCACGTTCACCTGTGGCAAGAAGTTTCGTTGGCGAAGAAACATTGAATCCCAACGCAACAAATCCAAAAGTAGTTGGTAAGTATCAATATTCGACGTAATAACATGTGGAAAATCTTATCCAAACTGGCATATATATTGCCCTGTCTGTTGTACGTTATGACCCAACCCTAACCTGGTACACATACTACGTTCCGATGTCCGTCGTCTTGGTTCACATACTTCGGGTGTACCTAAAATTCAATCTATTAATCATTTATCTTACATTCCATAAAATATTCCCATGATTTGAGACAGAACAGTAAAATTTTCGATGAAAAATCTTGGGATTTATAAAAATGTTCAAATAAAATTATGGCCGACAAGCGCTTTCAACATCCTCAAGTTTTGAAAATTCGGGATCGATTGACCCAGTATGCATGGAGAAAAAAAGGAGATTGACGGGTCTACTTCCTATTGAATAAGTCTCGAAAACGAAGCATTTAGAATACTTGACTGTATAAAAAAGTTAAGTACTCGAAAAGTTCGTGTTTTTGAGTCCTGATATATTTATGGATTTTAAAGAAAATAACTCATTTGTGGTGACCTCGTCCTAGTTAGAGTTGAAATTTGATATTTGGGTGAAGCGGGGTAGTTGGGGTGCGAACGCTGCACTTGGCTTATTCTGCTTCAAATTTCAATGCTTGATTTACATTTAGGAAGCCCCACTACATCAGATCCAGAAATACCAGAAGCATTTCCACTAATTCCACCTGAACCTTCAAATAGACGAGATACAAACGTGGCATCTGGAGCAAGACCCAAAACAACAGGTTGGTTTCCCCATTACAGATAAAAATTGATACCGTTTTGAACAACATTGCATTATCATTTTTTTAATAGTTTCCGTTGCACATATGTGAATTGTAAGTTAAATGGCGCCACCTTGCGGCGATTTGTCGTTCACTTGTGTATATTTGATCTTTTGTCGTTCACTTGTGTATATTTGATCTTTTATCACTGAACATTTGCTGAGTGATTATATTACCATTCAGTATATTTACTTCTCCAGTTTGTCTTTTTCTTAGATTTTCTTTTGAGTTTATCAAACCTAAATTCCAAATAAAATGGGTTTTTAGTAAAGGATTGTTCCGATCATGATTACCCAATCTTTTTTAATGCCATAAATAATTAATTAAAAAAAACTTTTATTTCGTGTTTTGGTTCTGGTCTACATTATAATTACTCTATCTCTTCTTCCAACCCAAGTTCAAATAGATATATTTATATAGGAATATAAATGAAAATGATTCCATTAGTCTTGAAGAATGTGATCTCCACAATCCTTGAGCCGAAAATTTGAAATATAGGTGGAGTGAGGTTTGCCGAGGTTCGAACACTACAGTTCGCTTTATTCTGCTTACAAATGCTTGATTAAATTGATTTATATTTAGAAAGCGCCACTCCTTCAAATCCACAAAAACCAGAAGCATTTCCACTAATTCCACCTGAACCTTCAAATAGACGAGATGCAAACGTACCATCTGGAGCAAGACCCAAAACAACAGGTAAATAAGCCGCACCAGTACAGAATCGGACTATAAGACGCCAACATTACTGCTGCTACTTTTCAGTGTTGGCAATAAATCGCGATGCGCTACCTGATTCATACATATTAGACGCATGATCCATTATTAGGAAAAGAATATTCCAAGTTCATCCCATTGCTCTAAAATATAATAAAACTATTCTGTTGTGTTCCTTTGGTGTTTTATGTATTTCTTTTTACTCTAACTTTAAACAAGACTTTAGGCAATCTGACCTTTACATGTATAAGGTCGTTAATTCAGCATTACTTATTTTAATAGGTTGGTTTTGTAATGGTCAGCTAAATAATTTGGATGACGACTTTAAAAGCCCTTTTTTGGATGGATGATGCCAACGTCCATTAGCACAGTTTGGGTGCTAATACGGTTATAAATTAAATTCGAATGAAATATGAGCGATTAGGGAAGGATATACAAGAGAGAAGTGCGAAAAAAAAACTATTGCATGATTGGGATGCTGTTACCGAATATTTTTCGTGTCTCAAAAACTTTGCGATTGCATTACTTTTCATGTTTTAATCTACATATGCTAGTGAATCTCTGTTCTCAGTTATGAACTTTATTAAGTCTCGTAATAGGATTATCCTGAAGGATGAAACCGGTAGTTTTTATATTCCTTTGAAAGTTACAAAATGTAAACCCATTATTAAAGCATTATCAGCGGTAATGCAGTAGCCGAAGTCTTGCTGATATAGTAAATGAAAAGCAATCAAATTTATTTGTGGGACTGATATTTTCCCGAATAGTAAATCTGTCTGTACATGTTAAAGGTTTTTTATTAAGAATTTTTGCGTTGGAAGTCGCAAAGTAAAGTTTCATTCATTTTTTCAAATTTTCTTGCACTTAAGTAAATCTTAAATAAAACTGCGCCACCATGAGGTGATTTATTGTTCACGTCCATTAGCACAGTTTCGGTCAACGCTACCCACAATGCCATTGTATTTCATTTCTTCTTCAAGTTCGTTGCACTTGAGTAAATTTTAAATGAAACTGCGCCACTAAGTGGCGAATTATTGTTTACGTCCATATGCTCAGTTTTGTACAACGCTACCCACTATGCTATTGCATTTCATATTCGTATTAATATTCATTACATTCACATTTTTGTTGTGGGTTTAATAAACCTAGATTCAAAATATGATTTGATATTATGTGATTTTAATGTTAGATGGTGAACCCAGCATATATTTTCAATACCATTTCAAAGCGTCAATTTCACAATAAACTCAGAACATTTTTATTCCATTCCTTGACGGCCCATGTTGAAATAGATTTATTTATTTCCTTCAACCCAGGTCCAAGAAGATCAGCATCCCACCAACCTCAGTCATCTTTGAGATCGATATCCCAATCACCAGTTCAAACACATCAAAGAAATGAACAAAGACTTCCAACAAATCGTGCACGTTCAAGAAGTACAGGTTGGTCCTTTAGTTTGCTGATTTTTTTTTTGAGTATATTTGCATTCTTATCACTCGAGCCGTGGAGGATTTAAATCCGGATTGAGAAGTTTTGACTCCCGACTCCAAACTATAATAACTAAGGATTTTTCTTTATTCTATGTTAAGAATAACGGCTCAATAATTTTTGAATTTCTATCAATAGCTTTAATTTTGATCATTGCCTTGAGATTCTGACTCATAGGGTCCGAATTCCAACTCCTGCTACAAAGCCTCACTTTGAGAGTATTGAAATAAAATTATGGCTACGGCTTCAATATAAATGAAAACATGCTAGACTTCGGTTCCATGTCTCTGTTTGCATTTGCAACCAAATAATTGAATGTTGCTCACAAGAATGAAAACTAATTTGAAAAGTTTAAATATTAAATATAGCTATTATTATAGAATTCAGAGATTTAAGTTTCAACTGAATGGAAAGTTGATACAAGGATATTTATTAATTATAGATGCCAGATATTTATCACTATTGGATGAAACAAGCGAATATGAATACAGCGCTGAATCTTTCAATTTCACTGAATCGAATAAAGGTAAGATGTTCAATCTATAGTGTTACAACGGGATGGACGTGTTCCTTGGCCTAAAAACGATTTGCCTGGTAGATAAATGAAAGACAAAATGCATATTCCGAGTTACACAGAGGTGTTGCCTCCCGCCCAAAATAAAAAAAGAAATAATTTAAATCAAAATAGAGTCACACCCAATATTCCTAAATTCATCCGTTGGAAATGCTTGTCGGCTGAAATTTTTGACTTAGATTATCTTCATTGAACATCTAAAATTAAAGCTCAGTCATAAAGAAATGAGATTCAGCATCCTACTCCAGATTCTGTGAAGACTAAAAATGCAACTCATCTCTACAGCAATGAGTTTAGAAATACCTCAAAAGCAATTAAATAAAGTTACAATTATATTTCTTAACCCTAATTCTTAATTTCAGAAAGCGACAGTGAAAGCACCTTGAGCAGCGTTGGAAGTTTAGTTTGGCATCAAAAATACAGATCGTATAAGAAGTCGACGTCTACTAGAAAAGCAGGAAGAAAATCTTGCAGAAGTAAGTTTGTTCAATCATGCTGACGAGGCAATGACCCTGGTGGAACAAACACCCATTCCAATAAAACCGTCTCACTCAAAGGCAATGTAATAATGGCTATTCGTGCATTAGTCTTTACAATCTTACTAACTTCAAGCCTTGTTTGTATAAAACTTTACTTAGGTCGAATGATATAGGCTGAGCCAGTTATTCCCAACTTTTTCTCAAGCGGCCCAAACTTTCTTAGAAAATAAATTTTGTAGTTATTTAATGGCTGAAAAATTGAATTATTAATACTAAACAATCGTTTTATATTTATTTTCCCATAGACCGATTCGAAGTGGGAATGCCGCAATTGCTTGTCATCAGCGAGTTTCTTTAATCGTGGGTGGCAAAATAGACTGAGAAATACCGCAATACCCAATATAAAATAAACAGACAAAAAATAATGAAAAATTAAAATCAGTATCTTAATTTTTTGCCGAAAAAAAGCCCTTCTGATGATTTTCAGGCGACCCAGTTTTTGGGTCACGGTCCATGGGTTGGGAAGTACTAGTCCAGACAGTGAAAGTTAAATATCCAGTCAGCATATTCGCCTAATTCATTACATTACACGAGCGAAACTCGGTGAATACCAAGTATTGAAATATCTGTGATAAAAGTAATGTCAGCGGATTCATTGGACATGTAATGGTGTCAGAAATCTTAGTACTGGTATTAGACGCGAAATGACGCTATTCTGTCACATTATTGCTCAAAATATTTGTAACTATAATTTAACTAAAAGATTCCCGTTTCAAACTTAGTCATAAATTTTTTTTTAAAAAATTGCGTCGAAGTGAGCAGCGAAAATTTAGAGAATGATCCTTGTTTCCAAAGGATTCAAACAATAGTTTCAACAGTTCAATGTAAAGTTTCTTGATTTGAAAAAATAAAAAACAGGTTTTTGATTTGATTGGATGTAGGACATGATTTATCAATTTTTTTCAAGCTTTCAGTAGAGCATGTAAATTTTACAGACGTGAGCAGCTCAAAAGCCAATCCTTTTTAATATTGACTCGAACGTCTATTAGAAATGTTGTGGCGCTAATTATACTTGTTTTTGTGTTAAATTCAGATTGGATGATTCAAACCGAAAATCCTGTGACCGAATCTGAGTCTCAAACCAGTCTCGTTCACAGAAGGGATAGAATAAATCAAACGGATAAGAAGCCAACTTACGATATGGAAGCACAGACGGACAAACAACGTACAAGGGACATACATTTGCAAACAGACAATTATAATCTAGATATGGAAACTCAGACAAGGCCGGACATTGCTGCACGCATTTTTGGACATGCACTTGCCAGTACTGAAATGTACGTTCAAACGGATCCAAAACAAGCACTCGACAACGACACTCAGACAACTATTCTACAACAGACAAACACCCCGACACAGACTTTGGTTAAAACTTTCCAAGAAAATGAATTTCAAACCGATCAGAGAGAAACAATCGCTACTTTTTCCCAAACCAATGGCATGTCCACCGAAGCTAGTGCTGAGCTCAGTAAAGAATATGAAGAATCGTCGTTGGAAATGATTGAAATGTATAACAGAGAAGGTGAGCTAAGATGTGAATATGGCACAATCATGAGGTATTAAGTGATGTGTTGTGCTAGGAGTGCCCTTATTTCTAGGTTGCGATTTTGATCGGTTGCATTAGGTAATTGGTTTCGACTATGAATAGGAGGAAAAACTGCAAAGCCTAAACTTCAAAATCTGATAAAGTTGAATAAAAAAATGCTATAACGATAAATGCTATATAAAAATACCAATATACCGATCTAATATAATTGCTAGTATTAATTTCTGAACCAAATAAAAAAAATCAGTGATATCTGTATTATTTCAAGGTATTAAAATGAATGTTTCTTTTCTCAGCTTCAACCCTGAATAGGCCGTGGAACCTCCGACCGATGCTCACTGTGATCGCGATCATCTGGAAAATTATTTTCTGCAAAATTTCATCGAATATTCTGAATAAAAGTGTTGATGACACAGTGAAAACCTATCTTGTTCTCCTTTCTCAATTCTCCAACAGCAGTGTGGATGACAAACAACTTGAACAGTTTGCGGGACATACAGAGGAATTGGCGAATTTAGCAGAACATTTTAAAAATGAAGGCGAAACCATCCATGCAGTAGTTGCTTACTACGCTCTTGCCAAATTACATAAGCTGGTAAACAAAACCCCCGGATCCGTGCAAGGTATCTTATCATGCATTGAACAAATAAGCTTGGTCATGGAAGAAATGATAAAACAGAAACAAACAAAAACCTTTATTCACGTGATATCCCTTATTACTGAAATGACTGATTTCATTGGATCAATATCAAACTACAGTCAGTTTATCGATAAATTGAAAGGTAAAGCCAAAAAATTCGCTTCCGAAGAAAAGTTTATTTCATTTGTCATTTCCTGCTACGTCGCTGCTAAACTGCATGGACTTAATGATAAAGGAGATCAATCGGTGAGAGGAATTCAACAATCTGTTTACCAAATAAAACTCGCCGTTAAAAATATGACAAAACAAGATTCAATGAAAAAGATTGTCATAGATCACGCGATACCACTCATGTATGAAATTTTTGAGTTTCTGCGAACGACCAAATGTTCGAGTCATAAAGTCAGAGTAGAGGCGGAGGCTTGTTGTTTATTTCACATCGGTCTTTGCTACTATTACTGCGATGAATATCAAGAATTTGCGAACATGAACGAAACCGGGATCGAGCTCTTAAAGAGAAATTTAGATAAACCTCAAACATATCTAATATATGGACTCTGTCTCAATAATGCAGGAGTGGCGTATGAGAAAATGGGGAATATAGAGAAAGCGGTTGAATTGCATAAAATGTCGTTGGAAGCAACGATAAATGCTGAAGATTATTCGAGTGATAAAGTTAAGAATGAAATTATTGAATTCACAAGAAATAATTTGAGAAGAGAAGAATCCAAGTTGCCCAAATAGGTTTATATCAGTAGCTTCAGCCATAAATTATGGTTGATCAAGTATGGAAACGTATCGCGCAATACCAGTTGGGACCAATTATGTTGAAGTTTGCGGCCATAAAATGTTGGATACCCATCACCCCACCCAGTGCGTCAATAATGCCAAGGCATCGATTTCGATAAAAATAGTAGTACTTCACGTAACAACGATCGCACGAAGCCTTGCTCGGAGCGAAACTCAAAACACCTCATAAATTTGATCTATTACCCGTAGTTGACTGTGTATTCAGTGATAAAGAATTTTTATTTCAAACTTATTTCTTCAAATAAATCAAGTGTTCAAGAAACAAGGCTCTAGACAAGTTATATATCTTTCTCTATGAAACACTGGGAAATAACATATCAGTGATTGCTTGTACAAAGCCTTGATCGGCCCGATTGTAAATAAATTTTACAATCCTGATACTCAAGTTATAGAAGATCGTTTTACGCATTTTCCGTAAACTCCTTTAAATCTTTGATTTAATAAAAAAAAATCCTACTTTCTATAAACAATTGATTTGGTAATGATGTGTGAATTTTAAATTTTATTTTCTTTACAACGATTATCTTGTGAAAAAAAGTATAATTTATAGCACGAAAAATGCGTTTTTAGCAAGTTTCGAAATTGTTTTTCATAAAATCACTTCGGTGCCACGTGTCTTGTATTGATATTCGTACATTATATCATTTGTGTTATTACATTTTTTTCTGATTTAAAAGCTATTTTCCATAATTTTGCTACTTCATTACTTTATAGTAAATGTGTTAAAAAGAAGTTCGTTTTTATCTTTGATTCTAATTACTAGCCGTAGTACTCCTATAGTATGTGAACCAAGATGGCGGGCGTCGAAACGTAGTATGTGCACCAGGTTAGGGTTAGGCCATAATTTCAGGTACAAATACTACGGGGCTAGCCCCTGAACTCGTAATAGAACAAAAATGAGGAATATTTAAATAAAATTATGGCCTAACCCTAGCCTGGTACACATACTATTTTCCGGTGTTCACCATCTTGGTTCACATAGCAGTCTAAAACTACAACCAAATATGAACACTAATTAGCTTAGGTTCGAATTACCATTAATGGAACAATTATTGCTCAAATGCACTTCTTATCAATCCCGGTCATTAATAACTGATTAGATTAAACCAGATTTAACTTCTCTCACTACCGTTAACATAGAATTCATCAGCATGTTCTTCAAACATAGAACCTTAAACATCTTTATTTATCTGACTAAAATTTTCTCAGTCAACGTTTAGCTTCGTCAAGTACGAATCTGTTTTTCTCATCTGTTTAGAATCTTATCTTGACAATACTTTAACGAGAATATCGGTCAGAGACCGAAGACTTATCGATCGAAAGTTAGGGGATCCCCCAAAACAGCGCTATTACTCCATAGTGACACCTTGTGTCCCATCACTAATAAATTAATAACTCGCTAATTATACGACATAATTCGCCCAAAATCAATAGGCTTCTAGTCAAAGATAAGATGAATGCACATGCGAAATCTGGAGCAGATTCAATCTCGCTTTCGTGAGATATCGCGTGCATCTAACAGACAGACATACAAACAGACATACAGACATACATACAGTTGGACAGACAGACAAATACCTATCAACATACTTACCGATTAAAATCGATAAGTAATAACGTTTTTTAAACACCTGTGACCGAGACACACCAGTTTGAAGAGCCAAAGCAGAGAGTCTTGCACATCAAGAATAGTTATCAACGCTTCCCCTTACTTTGTACAAGGTTCAATAAAGTTTAGACTATTAGGTAAAGGACACGGTAACGTACAATGTAATGGGCTCCTAAAGATAGTGGGAAGGTTTAAATATAACATTTCGCCAAAATCCTTATATTAAATATCCTGTCCTTATATTAAATATTGTTCACTCTTGTTTGGGAATTTTTACAAAATTATTAAAATGGTGTGGCAAACAATTTTTGTTATTTATTACATTTCTTATCTTTTATTCTAATTTTTTTTATGTTTTTTTTTTTTTGGTTACCATATAATTTATCTAAAGCTTCTCTCTTTTTTCTAATTCTATTAATGCCCTATGGTTGTGTGTGTGTGTGAGTGTGAATGATTTGATTCAGTAGTTTTAGGTGAGTGAACACGTACCACTTCTTTTTGGCAATACCTTCCATCTTATATTCTGTACGTTTTAAACCTTATCCACGGTTTTGTTGGCTGACGGCTAACTCGTCATGGACCACTCGCCATGCGACGGCGGTTAACGGGTATGAGGGCTAATGCGATGATATATTTAGCATGCTCAGAGGAAAAGGATAAGTTGAGACATCCTTTTCGTGTCGAGAACCGTACGGTACCGGTATGCCTTTCGGTACCGGCACGTATAAGCACGTTTTCCTGTCACTTTGTTATCCCTTGCACGGTATTCTAACCAAACACATTTAATATATTTATTTTCGCTATTGAAGTGTAAGTGAAACAGCCACCTTTCCATCTCCCATTACAAGAAGAGCCTTCGTGCAGTTGCAGGCATACCCGTTAACCGCCGTCGCATGGCGAGTGGTCCATGGCAAATTAGCCTCCACCCGTTTTGGCTACCCTCCTGATTTCATAATCAGTTTTTATTTATTTGCTTTTATCAACCTTTTATCGCCTTTCTGCTGATTATGGAGTCGAAATAAACTTATCTTATCTATCTAATTCTCTCGTACATTATGATAGATAAAACACAAAAACTATTTATTAATACACCGTACTCGACGTCATAGGTGTATTCATGTAAAATAAATAACAATATATATATACCTATTGTACAAGGAAAAAGAAACCTAAGCTAGGTTACGCCCACTTACTCGTAAATCAAACTTGTGAATCTCTAACCAAAGTAACTGGCAATCTCTGAAGTACCAAGAGATACTGAGACTTTAACAACGTATAGCAATCAATTATGCATTAGTGAATGCCGTTTGACCTGTGACTCAAAGGTCAACAGCTATGAGCGAGTGAATTCTACATAACTGAAACACTTGGCTTGCAGAGCCCAAAGCTAACAAAGTATGAAAGCTGCACACTCATGTGGAAGGAATAAGTCGAAACCTATTTCACGCGACTGAATCGTTGATTTATAATTTGTGCCTTGTATTATTTTACGAACGTCAGAGGGCGCTAGAGTTGCGCAAAAATTCTCATTCGAATTGTCTCATTAGTGCAGTAGTCGGGAACCCATGGCTCTTTTGGTGACGGTATATAGATCACAGAAAAATCTTATATTCCAAGGCTAAGCTTACTATTGTTACCCACTTTCAAACTATATAGTTATAGCCAAATTTGGCAGAACATTTGCGAATAAATTTAAAAACACGCGCTAAGTGCTTGTCTAAGTTATGTGCGAGAAGGGCCGGTCAGACATTGTGACAAAACTAAGGGATTCTGACATCACGAAAGGATAAAGTTGTGGAGTTTGTCTGTACTGTTTGTTTGTTATATTATAAAAGAACTGTGAAGATTCCTAATAGGACGAAAGAGGATAGGATTTCATCATAGTGTAACTTCTGCTTTCTTTGCTTGCTTATTAAGCGAATTAGATAAGTATCTGACTCCAAAACAGAATATATAGTAGGTTACGTGTTCAAATTGAGATATCTGTTAATTTTATATAACAGTAAGGATCTGACCAATTTGCCTGTAAAGATTTTTATTTCCACGGATAATATATCACAATAAATTTACTTACAATAAAACACACTCACAATCGTGAAAACCAAGTCGGTGATGAATTAGCATTGTTGTATAGAACGAATTGAAATAGAAAAGCCGTGAAAACCACGATCAAATGTCTATTTAAACGGTAACATCTTTTTCATCTCGCTCGCCAAAAACGGTACCTTTCTTTATTATCCAAAAATCTCGTTTCCCACGGAGCAATTTTTGCTCATATCTAGAATGTTCGGTACCCTTCTTACAATAATTACACTTGTTTATAGGTTACCTGACATGGGAAATATCCATTTTCTCATACACGAGAAAGATCTAGACTCAATATTTCGAATGATCTAGAAAGATCTCTTCAATATTTCGGTTGTATATGGGTCACCCGACATGGGAAAATATCCATTTTCTCATACACGAGAAAGACTAGAAAGATCTCTTCAATATTTCGATTACGTCAATTATTATATAGAATTTGACTTCCATTATCCAAATTATTGGTTAATTTGTTACACATTCCTGGCACCACAAGTGAAATATTTTAAAAGCACATATTAAAAATTAACCGATAATTGTAGAAATATAAGAATGAAATCGAAATTATCATGACAGTAATCAAATCTCGTAACTTTTGAAGATGGCAATTTGAAATGTCAAAGTAATTTGTTTGAAAACTGTCGGATGAAGAGCAAAACATCCACTACGAAGAGCAAGAAAAAATGGTCGAGTGTAATTAATCAATAAGACATAAGACTCAGAAACGACAAGACAAATTCCTTAATTTTGGTTATTTAAAATGGCAATTGAAAGATTTATATACAAGAAGAAAAACATGAAATTTGAGCACTAATTATACATGCAAGAATTAAAAACATACAACTTAAGAACTCATTGTAGCCCCATTTATTATGATTCTGAATTGGGGTCTTTTCAAATTATAAGGATGAGACATTTGTATTGTGAAAGGCATTTGAATTGTGCAATTCAGTGAAACAGTAATGGTATTATTATACCTTCTTCTCACCTACACGACTTTCAAAATTGTTTGTGAATTTTAAGATTATATTCATTTAGGCATTACCGAAATTTATAAAAAATTAATTAACAATCTTCAATCTTAATTTTTTTTTGTGATAGCAATTAGAGGGATTGTGAGAAAAATTTGTTTATACTAACCGGACTGTATTTTGAACAACAAATAGGCAAAAAATGGAGAAATTACGGTGGCGGGGAAGTGGGCACTGCAATAAAATGGGCAAGAATGAAACTTAAAAAT